AATTAAACCCTTCTCAGCGGGAATAAATTATCATCGCAAGAGCGCACAAAATTATTATCAATTTTTCCGATTAACCGATGTAATATATAAATTGAATAAATTAAAAAAAAACGACAAATAGAAAGAGAGAGCAAATAATCATTATATTTTGAAACATCGATAAATAGTACAAATTGAATTTTCAGAGGCAAAGCGTTAAAAGCGTGCGAGTTAACGACTAGCAGTTAACATATTATAGCAGTAGCAGCGAAGTGCGCAATAGTTTCATATACACACGTATATATGTACGTCGATCGTTCGAGAGAGGAAACGCTGAAACGACCGCGTTTTCCTATAAAGAGAGCAATAAAAACCACGCGAGCCGGGTTTAAAACCAGGTAGCGGAAAGGAACCGTGAATGGCCGCGGTGCATTAAACATTCTACGTTTTTTTTTCGTCGTCGTTCATTCAATCGACGTAATTTGCCTCCGACCGCCTCATCGGTTTTCCTATATATTTGCCTCGCAACTCGAAAACGAATCGACTATGGTGTGCTTCAATAAATATTTTCTTTTTAATTTACACCAAAAATTAGTGACAGTTCCCATATAGCTAAATTTTTAGATAATCGTTTTATGAGATATAATTTAGTAGGAAATTTCCTGTTAAATTATAATTAAAAATATTAGTTTCGATAGAGAGCTAAAAATTAGACATGGTAATTAAATGTCAGATGTAATAGAGAGACACCTAAAGAGCTTCAGTATAGTTAATGTTTTTTTCCCTATGTAATAATTATCATTACGTCGCGATCGCGTTTTCCCGATAATTATTATCATGTCATGCAATAACGTTTTCGTGCCGATTATATCTTCGCGATATATAATATTTAACGTTAAAAGCACATTGCAATTATATGTATGAAGCTATATTAATATATTAATTAATGAATATTCTAGTAGCGAACCCGTCATGACCAATGGTTTAATTTTCACCTCGTTTCCCAATCAATTGCAAGTAACAAATTGACGTTCGCTTGTCAATGTTTGTCTATTCAAATTTTGTAAAAAAAATTCCTCGTGCTTCCAGATATTTTTATTTGAAATTTCATAAAAAAATAAACAAAAGTATGTAGATGCAGATTTTTAAAATAAACTGTTTTATTGTATGCTCGTTTTATTGTTTTATTCATACGATTACAAAAAAAGTTACCAAAAATTGCAGTTTTTGTAACATTTAATATTGCTTTATTAATTGTAAAATTAATTTGAGTAATAACAAAGTGTAATCATTATATCTAAACGTTAAGGGGATCCTAAGCTAATCTAAGGTTTCTTTCTGTTTTTGACAAAATGTAAGGTGAGATAAACTATAAATCTATCTCTAAAAAACAATCCATACAGCCAATAAATAGATTTATAGTTTATCTAATTTCACATTTTGTCGATAAAACAGAACGGAAATCACAAACTTCTCAAGGAGGTTTAGAATCACCTTAAATAAAATATTTTGAAATTCGTATCCAAGAAAAAAAAAACAAAAATAAATACATAAATTATTATTAAAAAAATGTTTTAACAATTCTTGATTTTCTAAATTTTTCTAGAAAGTAGGTATCCTAAAAAAACCCCTTAAAATATAATGAGAAACACTATTCAATGCGCAGCGAACTGCTATAAAAAAATTCCGACAGAAGGGTTAAAGAGAGACAGAAACGCACTAATACTCGTCCGCATTTTAAGCTTTCGAAACCATCGCAATCGCATTACGATCGATCAAGAGCGGACCCCATCGGCACAATTTCGCGCTCTTTACGATCGTCTGGGATGCGGTTTAAACGCGCGCAAGTGCATGTCACGTGCCCTCTCGAATGCCAGTGTTACGCGGACGCTTTACGGGCGTTTTATAGCGTGACTTCGGCGTGATTTAAAAGAACGGTATATACAACGGTGGGAAGATATTGCCGTCTACGCCCGGAGTGTTATTCGTCTCCGGAATGCACGGGCTGCAATATCAGGTTTAACGACGGTGCGCGTTGAAGTCCCTGATCTGGGGAAAGCGAGGGAAAACTGCATAAGGAACGGTTGAAATTTGTTGCATCTCCCTATCTGTCATGGTTTATTGTAGATTTTACGATAAAAGTCTTTTTTATCTTTATTCAGTACACTGCGTGAAAGCAGTGTTTGCCTCTATAAAATTTACTTTATAAAATAATTTAAGATGTACAATATATTTGAGCACCTTTTTTATTCATATATCCGTGAATTTAACATTTACTCGTTTTTAAGGAGAAATTAAAAATCCGCGAAATGTGTTGCGTAATATACACATACGTGGATTAATTAAATACATATTTAAAAACGTAACAGTATCTAAAAAAAAAAAACTTTCTAAACAGATTTTAATTTTTTATAGATACTTTGACACCATAACATTACGATAAATTATATTAGATTGTCCTAATAAATATAATATCCGCATCTTTCATTTTCAGAATATATTAATTATAATTTTATATTACATATATTTATTATTGCAAATGTATCAAATAAATATGTCAACATAAAATTATATACTGAAAAAATAAATAATAAATTGTTTAAAAATTATTACCAATATTCAAATTATTAAATAGTTTATATATTGATATTTAAATATTTTTTATATACTTTATTTATTTTTTATATTAAATTCACAAAATAAAAATTATTATGCATATTATTATTATTATTATCAAAAATATTCGCACACAAATAATTATAAGATTTCTGTTCTTGAGGCAAAGTATTCCGTCGATTGCGAATATTTTTCGGAATCGCCTTATCTCCGAGGAACGTCAGAAGAGCAGACAGGCCGCAAAAATAAGGAAGACGGATATGTATGTAATTTTCGTGACGCCCGCCTGGCGTGCTATTTTAATGCGTGAGATGATGATCGATTAAGTATTCCGCGCACGGCAAACAGAACGCTGTAATTGAACGCACGTCTCGCGATTTTTCACGCGTCGCGACACCCGAGCATCGCGCCATGAAAATACCGTAACGAGAACTCTGACTCGCCTCTCAAAGCCGAAGAGGAATTCGCTTCAAACGTATTTTACGACCATTTCCGAGACCGTAATATGACGGATTTGAAAAGCAAGCATCTATGTACAGGCTGTAATGAAACAAAGGTGTACAAAGCACATCATCAGGTGCAGGATGACAAACTAAATCAAAAAGTCCTGAGCCATTTTTAATCTGAGCTTTACTTTTGACGCTATAAATTGTTAAAGTTTGCCAATCAGCGCGTGGCTACAACGGAAAACAGCGCAGTAGCGCCTACTAGTAGCGTACTAAGGCATATTAAGGCGCCTACGTTGTAGCCACACGCTAATTGGTCAATTTTAACACTTTATAGCGTCAAAAATAAAGCTCAGATTAAAAAATGGCTCAGGACTTTTCGATTCAATTTGTCGTTCTATACTTGATGGTGTGCTTCATATACCTTTGTTTAGTTACACACTGTATATATCTTTATTTTTGCGCGAAAAATACTAATAAATTATTTGGACTTGTCATTAAAAATTTTAGGAATAATTTTTTGATTTTTAATATTGTGCTAGTTTTATCACAATACTGGAGATAAAGATATTATTTTTTCGGCTGGATATTCTCGTTAAATGATAATATAAAAAAATTTATAAGTTTATTATAATATAAATAAATTCTTGACTTTTATATAAATTGGGACAAACAAGGTAAGTGTGCTACGAATTTGAAAATGTAAATAATAATTGACCAAAGGTCAATTTGTCCCTTTAGGGGCTCATGGTTGTGAATCATTAACGCTAGAGGCAAAAATAATATAACTTTACCTCTGAGATAAATCTATCACTTTACATATACATATATATAACTTTCAATTTTTTTGCATCGCGCGAGAACGATATATCATCGTATCGACTGCCCTCGAGTTATGTGCAGCAACGATAGAGAGAAGAAAGAGAGAAATAGAGATCGTACGTACCTTCTTCCGAGAATCTTCTTTTATAATCGCGTCATATTCGCACGTGGGCGAGGGTGAGAAATATGAGAACCGAAAATCGTGACGTGTATAATAAGCGGGAGTGATAATTGCAAAATTTTTCTCCGCAAAGTATTATAAAATAAAAAGATATTTAAAGTATAAATCATAAATATCTTTAAATTCTTAATATTGTGAACAAAATACAAAATAAAATACGATTTAAAAATATATCCTATTATAGACAAGTAAAATAATATAAAAATATATATACATATATAATTTATATATAATTCTGTATAATTTAATATACTCTATATAATTAATTTTATATATTGTATGTATATGTATATATGTATTTATAACTATAAATGTATATAAAATTATAAATAGAAATATTATAATATATAGAATAAATTATTAAAGTTAAATAATTATTAAAACATAAATAAAATTTTACATATAGAAATGTGGATCTTAAAATCTCGAGTAAACCAAAGCTACATTAGTAAAGACGGACAGGCAATTTAAGAATGTGGACGCTTATAAATCCGGGAAAAAATAGCCGGAATAAATTCTTATGTCAGAGCAATTTGTATTGCCGCTGTCTCGTTAGGAAGCTCAGGAAGCTCCTGATAAAATAAAATTTCCACACACTGCGGGATAGCTGTCGCGTTCTTTTCGCGATGAGGGAAAAAGCGTATACGAAACAACTCCGAGGCGCGGATATCCTGGACTTCTGACGCTGATCGATCGAGAGCAGGGAACGTGTCAGCGAGCCACCACCAAGCATCTCCATCATCTACTTGTACGGGGAAAAATGAAGTGTGGAGGAAAAAAAGGCGGGAAAAAATCGTCAGGCCGCGAATGACTCGAGTGGGTCGAAGAACGTCACGTCGTTCATTCAAAATTAACAGCGACTTTTCGGGCTCTCCTGTCTCTCACGATTCGCGAAGATCGAAAGCGTCTTTCCCAGAAACGCCTCGATGATGAAACCGCGAATAAGCGAAGCTTACCTTCGAGATTCGCCATGGAGAACCTGTAGCTGTCGATCCTCGGCGTGTTGATGTCCGAGTTAAAGGGCCTGAGGGTTGCCGAGCTTACATTGTCGAGACCCTGTAACACGAAAGATAGCAAACATGTTAAACTTGAGCCTGGCTGCAACCGAGACAGAGTTCGATCTGCCGTTGTATGTTAAGCGACGGTGAGGGCAACGACCCCTCGCGATTATCTGTCCAAAAACTTTCTCAAACGAGATATGTAATAGTTTTGTCTACATTCGAACGATCTAATAATGTATGCTATGATAATACTGATAAGAATACTGATAATAAAGTTATGACAAATACAATAAAATATAATAAATATAAAAAATATATTTATAACATTTATTGTATTTATATTTATATTAGATTTATATTTATTAATATTTATTATATATTTATATATGTATATAACAAATATGATAAATAATATACACTCCGCAAAAACTAATTAAAAGATAAAAAAATTATTAAAAAAATAGGTAAATTTTAAATAGCTGTAACTTTGTTTTAAAAAATGATAATTTAACTTTTAAAAAAGATTTTAAAGCTTGAAATCTCTACTTTCGAAAGATCATAGCTATTTTCATTTTCTTCAGTTCTGATATTTTTAACATAGAGAAAACGACAAACATAACGAAATAGAAAATTTTTCTCACATTGTAGACATGTAAACATACGGATCACTATAAAAAGATTATCACAGCAAGTCTGTGATATTTTTTATCAAGTTTGAGGTACTAGGGAGTACAAAAATTTCAGTCAATAAAATATTTTACTTCACTTTATGTAACTTTTTTTAAAAGTTTAAACAAAAAGAAGCAAACTCGCAAATTTTTTCGTTATTTTCATCTGTTTATTAAAAGTTCACGAGTTAAAAAAACTTCAGCCTTTATATCATATTATAGTGCAAAGATTCAGCTTTAAGAATCTATTCTTAAAATTGCTGTACGATGATTTTTGACGGAGTTATGAACGATTAAAGTGAAAATGACATTTTTTCTTCAATTTGCGATAACTTGATAACAAAATATCAAAATTTAAATTTTAAAAAATGCTTTTGCAGGGAAAACTTCAGGCTTTAATGTACAAATGTCAAAAAAATTGTTTCAAACCTTCTTGTGTATGCGACATGTCTACAAAGTGAGAAAAAATTTTCCGTTTTGTTATGTTCGTCGTTTTCTGCGTGTAAAAAATATCAGAATTGAAAAAAATGAAAATAGCTATGATCTTTCGAAAGTAGAGATTTTAAGCTTTAAAACCCTTTTTTAAAATTTAAATTATCATTTTTCAAAACAAAGTTACAGCTATTTAAAATTTACCTATTTTTTTTGGACAATTTTTTTGATCCCTTAATTATTTTGAGAAGTGTATATATTAATATTTATTATATACATAATAAATACAATAAAATATATTATATTAAATGTTAAAGAATAAAGAAAAGACAAATATATTATACATATATAATAAATTTATAAAATATTTATTCAACACTAAAAATATATTATTGATTTTTAAAATTATATAATGTAAGGCTAAAATAAAAATATACATTCAGCATATAAACCTCGATGCTACTTTCTTTCGATTAACGATAGCAGATTCTGATCTCTTCCTGTTTTGTGTAGGATATCAATGAAGCAGAGACGCGAGTATATTCCTGAATAGTCGAATCGGTCGAAAAATGTGATATCGTGTAGGGAGAAAAAATGTGATATCTTCAAGGCAAATCCGTGTGAGAAGCAAGCCAGCAGACATTTCTTGGGCCTCAACGCCTCGAGAGTTCAAGTCGATCCGTAATCCGTGCGGGATCCCTTTACGTTTTCAATTCGCCCTGCGGATGTGATTTGTACAAAGCCGGATTCGTTCACCCAATTTCCGCTAGATAATTCCTGATAACGGCATGTGTTCCATAAAAGAGGAAAAATGGATTTTATGTAACAGCTTTGAGGGAATCATCGGATTTTACGTATAAATGTCTTTTCTAAAATTTCATCTATTTTTCTCGATCGATTTTCTCGATCATACATAACGTGAAGAATCAATTTTTCTCTTATTTTTTTACCTTCACTTTTTTTAGTTTTAATAAAATTAAAAAAGTTCTCTCGACAGTTTAATCATTTTATGAAACGACAGAAAAGTGCTTAAATATTATGACATGTTAGAAAGTAATTTTTTAATACCCCGATCGTGAATGTTATCCGGCTTACTTTTCAAACAATCTGGATTAAAAATATAGCTGTATGTATTTGAAATAGTAACGTTGAGTCGCAATTCATTTCTCATCCATCTCGTATAGACGAGATCTGCCGATACAAAAATTATTTATGTATGTTCCGGTTTTCACTACGGCTTATCAGAAGATTAATCGAATGGGAAAAGAGGAGACGCGAGCTCATCTACTTCGAAATTAGTCCTCACCGATCGTGATAATTAATCTTCGGAAAGCGGCGATCCTTATTTGCGATATACAAGTTATTAGTACACTCGCGCATTTTTTTAGAAACTATAATTAGTCAAGATTACATTACATATCTTAAATATTTCTCATATAGTGATGACAATTTTATAAGATTTTACCAAAAAATAATTTACATTAAAAAATCAAATTTAGAATACTTCGTATTTTAATAATAATAATAATAATAATAAAATAATAATAATAAAGATTTTATTGATAAAACTATTAAGAAAAAAAATCAGTCGACATTCTGGGTCAGCATCCTCCTTTTTCTTATTTTTGTTAGAGGTGAGGATTTTATTTTTAACAGTTATTTCCGCGCGAGATAAAAATAAAATAGCCTTTGTGTTAACAGCAAGTCGGCGACACGTAGTTGATTAGCCTGGTCTTTTAACCGCGGGATGTGAAATTGTGCCAGCGAAGCCGAGGTTTGCCGCTTCTGAGGATAACGTGCCTTCTATAATCGCGCCTTTTTGCGGACTAACCTGGCCAGCATGCATCGATAACCCTAATGAAGTGAACGACCTGGACGCAAATGATTATATATACTGGGTCACTTAAGTTTAACGCGGCTAACTTGATATCATGTAAATAGACCATCTTATTGTTAGTGTCAAACGAAAACCTACTATATAGATTGTCTTGCAGAAGACATTTATAAACGGCGAGACAAATAAGTTTATTAATAAAATGTATAATTTTTAATTTAAACCATATATTGTTTTGAAATGAAAGCAAAGATATTGTAAGATATAATTTTCTAAAATTAAGGTGATCTGTTTCATCTCGAATAAGAGACATAACTTTGTGAAATTATAAAAAGAATCCTATTAATATCTCTCTAAGATACTCTTTGGAAAAATTTAAAAAATTTTTCTTATTAAAAAAACGAAACATACAAAAATCCTTTTTATTTTGTGACATCTAGTTTTAAAGATAATAATGTTTAAATTTTTAAATAGACATTTTGCAAGAAAAATAATGGGTTTCGAAATTTATTTCGTAGATGAAAAAGCAAGGATTAAATATTATATATATTATATAATGTATAATATATGCAAATGGTTCCTTTAACGTTGCAAAGTTGTCAGTCGCTGAAATTCTTATCAAAGGTATCTAAAGTTTCATGTACAATATTTTAGTCGCCAAAGATATTTTAAGTACGGAATATCTGTTTTCAAACCGCGCACAGACAGATTTTAATGATATTAACAATATCAGATTATCATATTAATACGTGATCTCAATTGCGAAAATTGTTGTGTTTGACGTAATTCGTAAAATTGCGAGAAGCACTGATTTTCGGAAAATTTTCAACGAACGAGAAAAGTACACGTAATTAATAATCGCGGTAATTTATCATCAAATTAATAATTTATTTCATATATATGCATATACAATTTATTATCAATATACAGAGTGTAACTGACACAAATATATGTAGACGACTTTTTCTAAGTGAAAATGTCGAGGAAAATCATTTCTTGCGCGTGTTCTCAATTTTTGCCATCATGCATCTTTGTACCTACAAGCTTAAAATTAAAATTCTATGAAAGTAAACTCTACCTAAAATTAATTGAGAATGTAGTTTGTTAATATTTTAACTCTACAAAGTTTAGTTTGCGAAAATCCTTTCTGTATTTCATCATTTATAACTTGAAAATTATTTATTGCTGCCTCGACAATTTTACTTAGAAAAAATTGTCTCCAAATTGAATTTTATGGTGCCTTATATGTTTTTTGGTTGCATTCTGTATGTATAATTATATAATATATTATACACTATATATTATATATATTTATTATATATATTACATACTATATATTGTATATAATATATTATATATAAATATAATATATTTATATGTATTATATATTTATATATATTATATATATTATATATATTATATACAATGAATTATCAGTTTTAAAAAGACATTTTTTAGACAAATGTTAAAAGAATAAAATCCTCTTATAATTTTGTTTAATTATAAAGAAAATTTTACATAAAAACATTTGTCTAAAAAATAGTTTTTCCAACAAAAAAAATATTTAGCAGTTATTTCGAACGACACTTATCTAGAGACACCCTCATCTCGACAATGAATATATTACCGAATAAATAGCGATTGATAAATAAAAATGGACAAAGCTTGAAATTTTTTTGGTGAAAATTTTCGGCGCATTTTCCCGGGGATTTCGCGAATATTTCCCTGTCTCCATGGGGGAAGGTCCCTTCAATTTCAGATTCTATTTATACTCGCGACTCGTTTTATTTCGTTCGATTCTTCCCCGTTTCGCACTCGTACATTTCGTATCGGCGACGTGTACGTACAATATTCGTGTGGGTGTGGTGAATGACCCGCAAACCATCATTCGGCCACAACCGGCGTAACAATTAGATCCGCACGGATAAGGCACTTCCTATAACGCGAAACCCGTGGACGGGTCACATCCATATCTGTTTCGCGTTCCTGTAATATTTACGTGTATTACGGGGCCGCGGATATTTCTCTCCTGTATATTTAAAACCTGGGGAATTATATACGGAGAGAAGCTCCGCCGTAAAAAAGAGCTTCTCTCCCGACAGTTTCTGGCCGGTAACATGG